TTTGAGAAAAGTAGGAAGACTGAAAACCACAAAAAATCTTTGGAAAAAGTTGGAAGATCTATATTTGCTTATATCCACTCCCAATAAACTTTATCTTATTGAGCCTTTCTTCAGTTTTAAAATGGATAATTCAAAGGATCTTGATGACAATTTAGATATTTTCAATAAACTTGTCCAAGATATTGTTAACTGTGAAGAAACCATATCTGAAACCTACAAAGCTATAATTTTGCTTAATTCTATGCCTGAGTCATATAAGGAATTTAAAAATGCCATTAAGTATGGTAGAGATACGTTGACTCCCGAGATTGTCAAAGACTCACTTAGGAGTAAGGAGATGGAAATGAGGGTTGAAAATAAAGATAAGAGGAGTGGTGAGTTACACATGATAAGGAGTGGGATGAAGTTTAAGAAAATGAATTTGGGTAGAGCTCAAAATAATGGTGATTCGAGTAGTGACTCGAGCGATGAAGGTGGTGAGATGAAGGGCAAGGGACGGGACAAGTCTAGTGGTAGACGGTGTTTAATTGTGGTAAGTCTGAACACTTTATTAGGGATTGTCCCAAGAAGAATGATAAGCAGAAGGGTTATGTGAGAGGTGAGACGAATGTGATTGGTGGGTCGAGTTATGACCCCAGTGAGGTTTATTGAGAGAGTAAACCTAGTCACTTCATATGCATCTGTGTGTGATCCTTTCAACATGTGTGTGATTGTCTAATTTGTTGCATGACTATATGTTGCATTTCAATTTATTTGATATGTGTGTTTGCATGAATTTGAGGTAATGTGATTACTTGGTGTGATCGTGTGCATGCATAGTGGGTTAAGATGCATTAACAGTGTGTTAGATGCCTTTTGGTAAGGTGTAGTATAGATGCCTAGGGGTACATCGTGATTTTTACCGGGGGATGTGGAGTGTGACATTTGGATCACAAGTGTAGATGTGATCAAATGTGTAGAATCCTTTATCTGTGAAAGAGGCCCCGTACAGGTGGAGTGCGAGAGAGGCACTTCTATCACTTCTGTAAGGTGGAGTCTCATTATTCACGTAGGTTGAGAGAAATGATGTGATGATAAAGGATTATCCCTAGAATTTACGATCTATTGTGACTTGCCTGTTTGACATGAGCTATATGATCTATTTAGTGAGCACGGTGGGCGATGAGAGGAGATATGTGTTCTCGAGGTGGGAGTAACACGAAATGGGATAGGATAAGTGTGGTGAGATCTTGCGTGGGGTCATTTATGCATTTGTTGCATATGTGTTTGACCGTGTGCTGATTAACTTGGTGTTAATCTTTAATTCTGTGTGAACGTGATTTTCTTAAAAGATCTGTGTAGTATCCTATATAATATCTTCATCGCATGATTATTTGTTCGTTGTGATACTTGTTCCTACTTGGGTGTTTTTGGACCTTAGCCTCGGTGAATATATGGAGTAGGTATGGTGTGTGTTTCGGTTCGAAACACGAGGTAAGGTCTGAGATACCAATTTTATTGGATTATCTTGATTGTGCAAGTTACTTTGTGTTTTGGTTGCTTGCAGATTATTGGGCATCAAGGTGGAGATTGTTGGGTTTTTGATACCCAATAATCCCAGGCGATGATCTTAAACCCACGTTGGATAAATTAATTATCGACACCCAAGATTGAGGACCTGACCCTAAAACTATTTGGATCATTGGAAGCAACCTAATTAATTAGTGTTGCTCATGGCCCGTCTTTCACACTCATTGGACGACTTATTTTGTTAGCCCACTTACTGGTATTCGTATTGGACTTGGCCCACACAACTTTGACCTAACCCAAACTATATAAGCTAGCCCCTTAGTCTTCTATCTCTCATGTGTGTTTCTTGGCTTTGGAAGAAAACTCTCTGTCCCTTTTGCTTTGTGCTCTCTCTCGGCTATTTTTCTTCTTGCTTCTTCATAGCCTTTGTGGTTGAAAAAACACCGTCTCTATTGTGTCCTTAGTGGGTACAAGGTGAAGCAAACCGGAGTGTGGAAGAAGGATTGGAGGTTTGGGTCGTGATTTGCTTGGGTGTTGTAAGGTTGAGATTGGTATGCTGAGCCCGAAAAATCCATTGATTGGAGGTCAATTATTCAACAAATAGATTAGCACCATCTAAGGAAAAGTGCACTATAACCACGATCATCCAGTGAAAATGCTTGCTAGAAATTACAATTTTCTTGTTCTTAGAGAAAGAATGAGTAAAAGTTCCAATATAAAGAAATTTCTAAGTGTTCTACTGAATTGGGTATTTGTATTCCCTGAAAAAGAGAGTATTTTGAGGCAAAAATCTACTCAAGAGTTTTCCTCTTTGAAGAAAAGAGACGTTCACTCACTATTAGTTCAAGTAATGAACATGCAAACTCAAAGAAGGTAAGAGGCATCACTAAGGAAAGGGTCAAGTGAAGTGGTGTGAGGCACAACCGACCTCACCACCACCATCACTGAGGTGGTAAGTGCCTAGGACATTTGATGTAATCACATATGATGGGATGCTTCGCTAGGATAAAGCCACGTGCTTCTTTATCCAATGGCTAACACTTCGGCCAAACCACAATATAAGCTCACGACTTATATAGATAGTATTATTGAAGAAACCTTAGCTAACTATAAGGACACAACTATTGAAACTGCCTTTATTCATGAAGTATGTAATGTGATGTGTTTCGAGTATTTTATTGTTGTTGCTCTTTCTTTTTGTTAATCAGTTAGATAGTACATGTAAATCTAACACTATCAGCATGCTTATTATTTTTTGTTAAGTTAGATCCAAATTTGATTGATCATTTGCGGATTTGTTGAATTGAGCTTTGAAAAGGTCAAAATATGGACAAAGAAGGAAAAGTCACCGCAAACACCACCAGCTGCAAGCTCGCTTCCCGCTTGAGTGCGAAGAATAGGAAATTGATGCCCACCTGGTACCAATCTACCACTGGAGCACAACTCCCACCACTCACTTCTCACCAAAGGGGTACTCGAGTGACGGGATATTCCAGCCCGTGATCCATTTCAAACTTTGACTCTCCTTTTTTTTAATCATATTTCCATCTTTAGGACTTATATTACAGTTTAGCATGTCCCCTATAAATAGTAGACTACTTATGTATGCATGCACACGCCCCATCATATGCTCCTATTTGACAAGGATTAAAATTAGTTTTTTAACAGATTTTGATGGACTTCTTTATAATTTGAACAAGTTAGACAATATCGTTAACACAATATTTTTGTATTATTTCTCTACATTATAATAAATTCTCCCATCCTTTGCCAAATGATCTTTAGTTCTTATGATGTGATCACTACTTCATATTTATTCATGGCCCATCTTTGTCAAGTCGCTAACAAGTGGTATCAAAGAATAATTCTTACTAGTTTATTAACATTTTTGCAAGTTGATTTCTGTTATCCAATCACCTTTAACTAGGCGTATGCAAAAAATTTAAATAAAAAATGAATTTAAAACTATAATTTGTTTAATTAGGTTCAAAGGGTATAGAATTTTTTGGCATAAACTATGAATATGTATATTTACCACAGAAGTTGCACGATTTTGTGTAGGGCTGTTAAGAATTTTTTTTTTTTTTTTTTCCAGTTGCAAAATTCACTTTCTTCTTTTAGTTATTATGTTTTAAATGTAATTTTATTACTGCAACTTCAACCATAATTATTTAAAATTTTCAACCACAAAAACGAGATTCAAAATAATAAAATTATGAATACTACATGCAACGCACATTATCCTTAACTATTATATAAAAATGTATGCGGCATAGGGTCGGTACATGTCACGTTGAGCTATAGACTCGATAGAAAACCGTGGTGTATTAAACATCTTTTTTCCTAATCATAGATTTATTTTAAAACAAATATGGTTTTGGGGTTAAAAAATTCAATTTTGTATTTTAAATGAGATAATACTCAATTTCTGGGTTAAGCTTAGCAAACCAATGGACAGTGGTCTTAGACTGAGGAACATACCCATTATAAAAATTGAAATATTTAAATTAACAATAAGGTGCTACCACATTTTGTAAATATATCATATTTTAACCCCATTAGAGATTCTTAACATTTGTTCATTGTCACGTTTATATTTTTTTCAGCATGTTCATATCTTTAATTTTTCATTTATTAGTAAATTTTGTCATTTATAAGGATTTTTGCCTAAAAATGCTGTTAAAAAGCCGCAAAACTACAGGAAAAAATTTAGCCCTAACTTCGTATTTTTTTAATTAATTAAAAAGACAAGATGCAAATAAGTCTTTGGACATAAACTATCAAAAATTTTCTTAATTTGAGATTATCAATAAAAAGAATTTAAGATATAAATGTGATAATGAAAAGATTTTCCAGCAATAAAAATGTAGTACATTTATTAAAAATTATATTCAGCCTTAACAAATCTTAATCAAATCATGGTTCAAACATTGAGGACATTTGAACACTATAGTTTACATAAATTCGAAAATAGAGTTCCTTTTTTCCATAAATTAGGTAACAAATTCAAAGATATTGTCCATAACAGTAATAGTTTAAAAAAAAAAAAAAATCAATAGGCAATTCTCTTTCTTTGAACATCATAAGAAATTAAAATGAATAGGTGACACGTTTTATTAATGACGATAAAAAAATAATAAAAAATTTATTGAGAAGTGGCTCAACCGGACAAAATTATATCCCTTTGTGAATATAATTCTTTACTAAGCTTTTCTTCTTCTTATTTCACTGGTCATACCTCTAGGTGTTTCTTTTAATTTAAATCAAGAGGATAAATAAATCCTACATAGTAATAGCTTAATTTACATAAACAATTACTTGAATGTTCTTAGTCTCCAACTTCTGCATTGAATCAACTTAGTAAAGTTAACCCCAAGAAGCATTCATTGCTCCAAGGCTTCAAAAAACTTTTATAACTTTACACATGCACCCACTTGCTTTTTCCAAATTCCTTTAAATAAACTTCCAGACTCTTCACAATAAATTTTTTAAAGCAATGTAAAAAGGAACCTAATGTTAGTCAGTTATTTGTATGCTTATGAACCAAAAAAAAGTTATTGTTTCTAAAGCAAATCCCACTACCATAATATGCTTTTCCCTTCTTTTAATCCCACTTTCTCTTTTGTATCGTTAAGTTTAGCATCTCCAGGCCTTCTTCACTAAGAAAATCATATCAATACATACCCTGTCATATTTTCCAGAAAACATTCAGCACAAGTCAAAGAAACAGAGATTGAGAGGAAACTGCTGGTTTCAAATAGGATAATATTTTGTTCTAATATTGTATCCGTTTACCAAATCTGTTCCTATCTACGGACACTAATGGGTGCTGACTGGGGACCAGTGGTGGTGGCGGTAGTGCTGTTCATCCTCCTATCACCAGGGCTGCTCTTCCAGTTGCCGGCGAGGGCAAGGGTGATCGAATTTGGCAACATGTATACAAGTGGGATTTCCATTCTGGTTCATGCAATCTTGTATTTTGTTATTTACACTATCTTAATTGTTGCAGTTGGAGTGCATATACATGCTGGTTGATTATATGCTCAATGATACAAGAAATTACTTCAAATTTAAGTTCCCTTTGTATTCCCTTCTTTTATAATAACTTTTTTTTTTCTTTGGTAAATTTGTCTTCTCTTGGATTATGGATGTTTTATAGTTGATTGCGTCAAATTATAACGCAATGAAATAAATAATTAACACCGACTCAAGGTATCAGAATATGTAGGGTGGTCGGACAAGTGAAAATCCGACCCTTGATGGGCCATGCGGTGGGCGATGCGGCCTCTAATTTTCCACCATGTCGGGCTCAAATCTAAAGATCCGTCATCGTTTGCGTCTGTCTGCAAAAATAATTATGAGACCATAGGCCCGACTTCACTCCACTGGTTAATTAATCATCAACATACCGGGCTCGTTCATTCTGTGTTCAAGAATAGAAGAAATTACTTCAAATTAATGTTCTTTTGTTTTCCTTTCTTCGAAAGTTTCTTTGTCAATTAATTTTTAGTTAGTAATTTTCTTCTCTTGGTTTATTTATAAATAATTACGAAAAACTTAAGATCAGATTTTGAGTGAAAGAATTTGGATGCTTAGAAAGCAGTCAATTTTGTTAGGAACAAAAATGGAAGGAGAGTATTGAAGGACAATATTTAATTTATTTGAACTTTTCAAGAATACCTCAGTCACATTTGCAATTAGAATAAAGTTATTCGTAGTCGCTCACTGCGACAATCACCCTACATGACATACACATAATTGGTGATTATTCAATGCATTAATGTAGTAGTTTTTTATTAACTCGTTCATCAAATAATTACTTGTCATGTGTATGTCATGTAGGGGGCTGTCACAATGAGGGACTACGAGTAGCATTACTCTTGCAATTAATATCAAATTCAAGTGTAATGTGCCGTTCCAGCTCTACATTAAGCTCAATTGTATCTGTGGTATCATGCTCGCACTAATAGGAAATTTTAGTGAAAAATGCAGAAGCAGTCCTAACCTTTTGCTTTTTCGTTGGCTTTATCAACCACAATTTCAAACCTTTCAAAAATATGCACCTGGGTCCAAATGGATGGAATATTTACCATGAGTTGACCAAAAAAGTCGAAATTTGATATATTTTGACCAAATTAGAAGGGCAAAGTTGTACTTTTCATTTTCCTTACATTTAATATTAACAAACCCAAAAACAAAAATAAATTTATAAACCTACCCTACCTTCTTCCCCACCCCACGCAATGAAAACCGTGTAGCCTCACAGGAGACCTCGACGCCATTTTCTTCTTCTCCAATGATATCCCAAAAATAACGATGCAAGGAACCAAAATCGACCTAAGCATTTCCTCAATAATTTTCTATCCCACCTCATTTTCAATCGACTCAAGTGACTGTAAATCAATAATTTAGAACATTTTAAATGTCTTTTAGACGGCCAGAAATAGCCACCATCATCACCTTCAACCTAGAAAAACCAAACGATGGTGGCCCACCAATAGCTTCCACCAACACACCAAATCCAGAATGTTATGCCAATGGGAATAAAACAGACCCCTTTGCACAGGGTCTGTATAGGGGCTCTCACATGTGGTGGACCCCACATGTGGACCCCATGTGTGGGGTCCACCCCATGTGTGCGCATCTGTACAGACCATGTGCAAATGGGTCTGTACAAATAGCACAACTATGCCAACGTCTTCCCTATTATATATACATATATATTGAAGGTTTTTAGAGAGAAAAAAAATCGCCTCGCACATTTGCCACTATAGCAACAACAGGTGGTGTAATTGCATCAAATTGGAACCAGGCGAACCTCTAGCAGACTTGTACGTGTTGGAGAAATTCCGTCATATGGGGTCACTCGTGTATATATTAAAATGTGTGATGCTATTTTTAAGGTTTAATCAATAAGGTGATCCATTTAATTTAATTTTGGACTAATGAATATTAATTTTCATGGAATCAAAGTGTGGAGACCGGCACTGGCGGATCTAGCACCTGGCGAGCACCCGTGGCCGCGCGTGTTGGATCCGCTGACAGCCATTTTTTTTTTTGTATAATAGATAAATATTTTAGGTTATATTTCTAATAATACATTTTTATCTAAACATTTCTTCTTGCCGAGTTGGTTAGCATTGGTTTTTACTTCTTGCATGTCCCAAGTTCGAATCCTCTATAAATCAATTTTTACTGTACAATTTTTTTAGCTCTATAATTTTTACCAAAAATTGATGGGATGAGGAGATATGGGGATTCGAAATTGGAGCTCTTGTTGGAATGGTTAAAGGTTTGACCATCATGCCATTCTATGGATTGTGACAATAGTGTTAACAAATTTATATAATTTAGATCTTAGCATGTTTTAATGCAACAACAAAAATTTGAAGCCGTGCTTTTCCTCTGAATTATATAAAACTTGGCAACAATGTTATTTGATGAGTATATCTATTCTTATAACAAAATTATATATGTTTAATTTCAACAAAATAATTGTTATATTTAAATTTTAGGTCTTTTTTTATTCTCATTTATTTCAGATTATATTTTTCTCGCTTTTATTTTCAACCATATATTTTTTAATAAAATAATATTACACACAAATTCAAAATTTATCCTTATTTTTTATCACATATTTTCCATCAAATCACTATTTCAAAATGCATTTTTTGCACACAAAAAAAAGACGTCAAACGAGCTCGTAATATTTTATTGGACCGACGGCCGGCGGTTAACAGTCACCCCGTACTGACTCAAAATCCTGGATCCGCCACTGGAGACTGGAATAATTATTTTAAATTGTTGAGTGGCCAATTTGAAATAATTGAAAGATAATAATTAATTATTTAATATGGGTCGTGGTTCCCAATTGCACGTGACTTTCAGAATTCTTTGCATCCTCATCAACAGAAAATGAATTTCAAGAAATCATGTAGCAGTTGGAAGATCATAACCGATTTCAGAAAACTCAGATCTATGGATCAAGGTACGCTACCGCATTTATTTTGTTTTCTCATTGATTTCAACATGAAGATTCAAGTATCTAGTTCATTTCGATTTCCTACAAGTGGTATCAAAGTCATTCCATTGTTGAATTCTTTGAGAAATTGCAAGATTTAATATTACTACAGTTTTATATTATGGATTAATTTTATTTTTTTTATCAAGATTTTGCAATAATTTTTAAAGGATTTTCATATTTGGCTATTTGGCTATGTATTTGTTGAATTTGAAAATCATTTGAAACATTATTTGTGATTATTTTTCAAGATCTAGGTAAAGTTTTTTTTTGGAAAATTCATGGTTGTTTTGCAAGAACTGGGTTGTGGATTTTGAAATTTAAGATTATGGTTACCAGCATTTTAAATTTAATAAAATAATAATAATAATTATTATTATTATTATTTCTTGCCGGTGGCGCTGCAAAGGTGCAACAGTACGCACGCTGCTGCTGGCTTCTACAGCAGCAGTGCTCGCCAGCTGCTTGCTGCAGCTGATGCGCCGGCTAGCGGCGCGAGACTAGGTCGGCGCTACTATCCCATTGGATGCCGGCCGCCGACGCCAGTAATGATAGAGCAAAAGAAAAACACATTCCTCCGATTTCTGGTTTGGATGGATTTTGGAGGCGGGGGCATGAGGTGCAATTTTGGTATTCTCAGGCCCTTGCTTGCAATTTAAAATTATGGTTAATTATTTTTTCAAAATAAAAATTTACATTTCAGTCCCTAATGTTTCTGATCCATCCAAATTGGACCTTTAAGGTTACGGGTTTAATAATTCAGCCCCAAAATTTTGAAAATTATTTAATTTGGGCTATTAAAGTTTTGAAATTTACAATTAAAGCCCTCAATGTTTATAATTAATCAATATTGATCACAAAATTTTAAATTTTTTTAAAATTTGATCCCTAAATTTTTGAATTATTAACCCTTAGGTCCCTAAAGTTTCTAAAGCCATCTAATAATGCAAAATTAATGATTCTCTTTCTCAAATTAAGGTACTAAGGCTCTTTCAAGAGGAATAATTAAGGTTTAATCATATGAGACAATCAAATTCAAATAATTTGGTAAATCATTTATAATGAATTAAGGTTATCTAACATTTTGAATAAACTAATTGAAACAATATGTCACCAAAGTGACCTCTTTTGTGTAGATTGATTTGTTTGGGATGTTTAGTTATCATGTGTGTGCTTCTTCATGCGGGTATTAACTGGCCCAAAGGAAGGTTAATGCTTGGCTGAATTACATACACACCTACGATGGTAAATGTGTGACAATTATAAGGTTTCCATGTGAATAATAAATCGATCCAAAGATGGTTTCATTATTTGACAGGAATTATTGTCAATATTTAATCACTGTATTGAGAGTACCACTAGCAATTAATATTACTGTCCAAAGACTTGGTATTAATGTTGCACGAGGTATCTTGAGATGGGACTTACCATTATTTGAATTTATTGTTCATTTAATATGGATATGAGCATGATTATTTGTTCATTTTTTGTTCTCTTTACAACTAATTCATCTGCTACCACAATATCTGCTAATATCAATTTCATTCTCATGCTTAATGGGACAAACTTCAAGGATTGGAAAGAGAAAGTATTGATCGTTCTTGGCTACATGGATCTTGACCTTACACTTCGGATTGAGCAACCCACTCCTCTTACGGAAGAAAGTTCTCCTAATGAAAGGAGAAACTTTGAGAAGAGGGATCGCTCAAATCGCATGATTCTAATGATTACTAAGCGCGGCATTCCGGAAGCCTTTAGAGGTTCCATATCCAAAGAGATAACTAATGCTAAGGAGTTCCTTGTTGAAATTGAGAAACGTTTTGCGAAAAACGATAAGGCTAAAACAAACACGCTTTTGCAAAGATTGATTTCAATGAAGCAAAAAGGCAATGGGAACATAAGGGAGTACATCATGGAGATGTCTCACATTGTTTCAAAACTTAAAGGGCTAAAGCTTGAGCTGTCTGATGACTTGCTTGTGTATTTGGTATTGATCTCGCTTCCTACATAGTTCAATCAATTTAAGATCAGTAATAACTGCCAAAAGGAGAAATGGTCTCTAAATGAGCTCATTTCATATTGTGTAAAAGAGGAAGAAAGATTGAAGCAATATAGAACTGAAGTTGCTCACTTGGCAAGCATTCTAAAGATAAGGGCAAGAAAAAGATGAAGAAATATGAAGTTGCTCCTAAGGGTCCAGTACAAAAGAAACAAAAGGAAAATAAAGGAACTTGTTTCTTTTGTAATAAAGCTGGACATGTGAAGAAGGACTGTGCCAAATATCACGCATGGCGTGCAAAGAAAGGTACAATTCTTACTTTGGTCTGTTCTGAGAATAATTTAGCTTCAGTACCTAGAAACACTTGGTGGATGGATTTTGGTGCTACTACTTACATCAGTGTTTCTATGCAGAGCTGTCTAAGCCACCGAAAACTAAGTGATGGTGAAAGATACATTTATGTAGGTGATGGCAAATCGGTGGAAGTTGATGCAGTAGGCACTTTTAGGTTATTGTTGGAAACTGGTTATTATTTGGATTTGGAAGACACTTTTGTTGTGCCATCTTTTAGACGGAATTTAATTTTCATTTCTCTGTTGGACAAATTTGGATATTGTTGTTCATTTGGAAACAATCGGTTTAGTCTTTCATTAAATTCCAATATTATTGGTATTGGTTCATTATGTGCATATGATAACCTATATTTGCTTGATATAATAGCATCATATAATGAAACCTTGCATGTTAAATCACGAGATACTAAACGAAAATTAAATAAAGAAAATTCAGCAAAATTATGGCACAAGCGCTTAGGTCACATCTCAAAAGTTAGAATTGAGTGACTTTTGTCAGATGATAGTTTGGATTCCCTTGACTTCACAGATTTTGATGTATGTATTGACTGTATCAAGGGAAAACAGACCAAAACAAGGAGATTGGGTACTACCAAATCTTCAGACGTCTTAGAATTGATATACACGGATATTTGTGGGCCTTTTCCTACGGCTTCTTGGAATGGTCAACAATATTTTATATCATTCATAGATGATTAGTCACGTTATAGGTACCTATATCTCATCCATGAAAAGTCTGAGTCACTGGACGTGTTCAAAACTTTTAAAGCTGAGGTTGAGAATCAACTCAACAAAAAGATAAAGAGCGTTAGGTCTGACCATGGTGGTGAATACTATGGCAGATATGACGGTTCAGGTGAACAATGTTCAAGACCATTTGCTAAATAGCTAAAGAGTGTGGAATCGTCTCACGGTACACCATGCCAGGATCGCCTAGCATGAATGGTGTAGCTGAAAGACGAAACAAGACTCTTAAGGACATGGTAAGAAGTATGATAAGTCATTCAACCTTACCAAAATCACTCTGGGGAGACGCATTAAAGACTGCAGCTCATATTCTGAATAGAGTACCAACTAAGGCTGCTGCTAAAACACTTTATAAGCTTTGGATATGCAGAAAACCTAGTCTAAAGCACTTTCACATTTGGGGATGTCCAACTGAGACGAGGCCTTATAGGCCACATGAAAAGAAATTGGACTCCAAAACAGTTAGCAGTTATTTTATTGGTTACTCTGAGCGATCTAAGGGCTATAAATTTTATGATCCCACACTTAAGTGAATTTTTGAAATAGGAATCGCAACATTTTGAGGATGTTGAGTTTGGAGGGAGAAATAAGGTTAGAGACATTGTCTTTGAGGAAGAAGTTGAGGAAGGATCAATTTCGATTCCTACTATTATTTTTTACAATGAACAGGTTTCTATACCTGTCGTTGATAAAGAAGCATATCCAGAACCTCAACGAGACAATGTTGAAGAACCTCCCATCCAAAATGAGGCAATTATTCCAGAAGTACAAACTCAAAAACTTCAAGAACCAATGCTATCAAGGAGATCCACGAGGGAGAGGAAAAATGCTATTCCAAATGATTTTGTTGTGTTTCTCCAAGAACATGAAGAAAATAATAGAACGGTGGAAGATGATCCAATCAATTTCCATCAGGCCATGCCATGTTCTAACTCTTAAAAGTGGATTGATGCCATGAATGAGGAATACATGTCTATTCAAGACAATAAATTTTGGGATCTTGTCCCGTTACCTGAAGGTGTGAAGCCCATTGGCTGCAAATGGATTTTTAAAATCAAGAGTGATTCAAATGGTAATGTAGAAAGATATAAGGCTCGTCTTGTGGCTAAAGGCTTTACCCAGAAGGAAGACATCGATTTCAAAGAGACTTTCTCTCCAATTTCAACGAAAGACTCTTTCAGGACAAATATGGCACTTGTTGCGCACTTTGATCTTGAGTTACATCAGATGGATGTTAAGATGGTGTTTCTCAATGGTGACATTGATAAGACGATCTATATGGTGCAACCAGAAAACTTCGTGTCAGGATACCCGAAGAATATGGTTCGCAAATTAAAAAAAATCTATCTATGGGCTCAAGCAAGCTTCCCGTCAATGGTACCACAAATTTTATCAAGTCATTATCTCATTTGGTTTTGAAATGAATGTCGTTTATGATTGTGTGTATGACAAGTTCAGTAGGAGTAAGCATATTTTTCTGGTTTTGTATGTTGATGACATACTGCTTGCCACCAACGATATAGGCATGTTGCACGAAACCAAGAGATTTTTATCAAGAAATTTTAAGATGAAAGATCTTGGTGACGTTTCTTTTGTATTAGGGATCCAGATATATCAGGATCGCTCCCGAGGTATTCTTGGACTATCACAAAAGTGCTATATCGATAAAATACCTAAGAGGTTTAGCGTGCAAGACTATAAACCAGGTGACACCTCTGTTGCTAAGGGAGACAAATTTAGTCTCAAACAATGCCAACAAAATAACCTTGAAGCTAAGGAAATGCAAAAAATTCCCTATGCATCAGCTATTGGGAGTCTGATGTATGCTCAAGTTTGTACACGTCCGGACATAGTATTCATTGTTGGAGTGCTAGGCAGATATTTAAGCAACCCTGGGATAGATCATTGGAAAGCAGCCAAAAGGGTTATAAGGTATTTAAAGAGAACAAATGATTATATGCTCACATATAACAGATCAGACCAGTTAGAGATCATAGGGTACTTCGATTCTGATTTTGTTGGGTGCCAAGACAGTAGAAGATCCACATCAGGCTATATCTATCTGCAGGCTGGTGGAGCTATTTCTTGGAAGATTGTCAAGCAAACACTCATAACCTCTTCTACCATAACAGCAGAGTTTGTAGTATGCTATGAGGCATCTAACCATTGAATATGGCTACAAAATTTTATCACTGGGCTACACATTCTGAATGGAATAGAAAGACCACTAAAGTTATATTGTGACAATAACTCGACAGTTCTATATTCTAACAACAACAGGAGCTCATCTAAGTCAAAATATATTGACATTAAGTTCCTGGTTGTGAAGGAAAGAGTACAGAGTGGATAGATTTCTATAGAGCACATTGGAACAAACTTTATGATTGTGGATCCGCTCACTAAAGGATTACCACCCAAGGTCTTTTATGAGCACACTGCTGGCATGGGTGTTGTATTTCTTAAGGATATCATGTTTTAGTGGAGTTTGTATTCTCATTACTTTATGTTTATTTTGGACATATTTGGGTAGATATTTTTCTATACAGAAATAAAGTATTCAGTTCATTCCACTCTGTTATTATGTTCAGTATTGATCTCACTTAAGAAATAAGGTTGAACCAATTGGAAATAGACATGTTTGGATCACATAACATGTAATTTCCATGCTACACTCCCATCATTGATCTATATCATTTGGTTGTATGGGTGTACGTGACCATTGATGGATTTAGTCACGCTAAATGTGACAAAAATCGCTTTGATCCTACATCAACTTGATTGATGGACGAGATTGTTTGGAAATACCCTTAACAATGATAGCAAAAGCTTGAGCTCATAAAGCTGCTCACATTTGTAATATTACATGTGTGGCCCAATGGGAGATTGTTGGAGAAATTTCGTCATATGGGGCTACACGTGTATATATTAAAATGTGAGATGCTATCTTTAAGGTTTAGTCAATAAGTTGATCCATTTAGCTTAATTTTGGACTAATGGGTATTAATTTTCATGGAATCAAAGTGGGGAGACCAGAATAATTATTTTAAATTGTTGAGGGGCCAATTTGAAATAATTGAAAGATAATAATTAATTATTTAATATGGGTCATGGTTCCCAATTGCACGTGACTTTCAGAATTCTCTGCATCCCCATCAACAGAGAACGAATCTAAGAAATCACGTAGCAGTTGGAAGATCATAATCGATTTCAGAAAACCCAAATCTATGGATCAAGGTACGCTTCTGCATTTATTTTGTTTTCTCATTGATTTCAACATGGAGATCAAGTATCTGGTTCGTTTCGATTTCCTACAGTACAACCATGGGCAACCATTTAATTGCTTCAACTGACGCTTGTCGATGTTTGCTGTGGTGGGATCAGAGGGTTGGTTTGGTTTATTTTATTTTTAATTTGGGTAGTAGCAGTTATTTTTGGTCGGTGGTGTTGACGATATGTGGCTCAGTGGGTGGCGGCAGTGGGGAAGAAGGATCACTTACCTTTCTATTTTCACGATATTGGGGGTGGAAATGGTGGCGTGGGGTTGCGGGAGGAAATACATGGAAATGGCCGATTGAGCCGGCCATATTTTCAAATGGCCTTTGACCATTTAAAAAAAGTTAAAAATCAAAACAAATATATAAATTACAAGTTGTCAACTTCACCCTCATCTTCAACCAAAGAAAGAGAGAAGAGAAAAAATGGGGAAAAAACAAAATTTCACACAATCGGATTCAATCGAGAGCTGCCATCCCTACAGTGTACCCAACGTCGACAACCACAAAACTCAATTATTATCTTCAACAATGTTAGTTTTTTGTGGGATTAATTGAATAATTTTTCATTTTGCAAAACTTGTGAATTTGTGATTTAAATAGTTATTTATAATGTTTATTTTTCGTTAATCAGGTATAT